GAAACGTAAAATAATAATAAACAAACAAACAAATAAACAGCAGAGGCGGAGGGAGGACCACGTCGCCATCAATCACTAAAACGGTTCGTCTCAGATCTGTTGACCTTTAAACATCGACAACGGAGCAAAAATAATTTTTAATTACGCTCCGTGTGTGACACTTTACACGTCATGTATTTATTATTTTCAAACGATTAAAAGAAATTATTACATATTTACTTATTTTTAACCACCGCTGAAGCTGAAGTGGGAACAAGACTTCAGACTTCTGTGCACATGTTTTTGTCTGTTAGCAAAAAATCTCATGAACTACTGGATGGTTTTAATGGGACTAGCAAAATAAAATAAAATAAAATTAATGTACATTTAGGACCTAACCCAGCTCGAGATGGCTGCAGCTAATCAACACTAAAATGACTAACTCAAGTCAGGTGCAGATACTGAGCTAAAGTTTGGTGTGTTAGTAGCTAAAAGCTACTTACAACACACAGTGAGCACTAACAGGTCATGTTAGGTCTTTGGCATTCCAGGCGGCGGGCGATAAGCATTTCACCAAAGGAATGCTGCTTGCTGTCGTTCTATATCCCGTCTCCTGCCAAGCTGACGGGAGTCATTACTCACCTGGAAGAAGATTTTTAAGCAAATACGGATTTAGTGTTAATCTAAAAGCAAGAAATGTTGATGTCCTAGACCTTACCGAGCAGGTTTTTATTCTAAAAAGACTAAACTGAACAAAAATCTAACAAAAAGTCAGAATCGCAAGTGACATTTCTAAACAAAGTTAACAAAACACTGAGAAAGCAGGACTTGAAGTGCCTATGACATCACATTTTGGTAACATAACATTGAAAACGTACTGCGAAAAAAAAAAAACGTAAAAAATTATATATATAAATATATTCATGTCACAAGATGAACAGTTGTTAGGCTACTTGCATGAACAGTAATAGGAAGTGATGAAAAAGGAAACGCATGACTAATACCACAGGAAGTGGTAACGAGAGGAAGAGTTCAATTAATATCGTTTTTAAAAACAAGGACCTGGGAGTTCCCTTTATAAAGAATTCCCCTTTGATGTCACTTCCTGTTTCACTTTGGCTGCACTAAGTTCAAAAGAAAATATGCCAGTTATGTGACAAAATTTGTCAAATTAAATGTAATATGCTAAATTTCTTAAATATGAAGTTTTCTTCCACTCTTTGTATTTGTAGGACACGAATATCAGGTCTCATGTCTCTCTTGTAAACGAGTCCTCGAGGCTCAATGGGACTAACCTGTATAAATAAGGTCGACTTAATATCAATTTAAACCTTATTCTTAAAAAAAGAGGAGTTATTCCACAATCTGTGGCAAACTAAGGAACAGATTTTTGTCCAGGGGCTCAGGTGGTAGAGCGAGGAGGTCGTCTGATCAAATCCCGGTCCGGGGGCCTTTCTGGGTGGAGTTTGCATGTTCTCTCCGTGCATGCGTGGGTTTTCTCCAGGTACTCCGGTTTCCTCCCACAGACCAAAAACATGCATGTTAGGCTGACTGGTAACTCTAAATTGTCCCTAGATGAGACAGAATGGTTGTCTCCGTGTCCCTGTGATGGACTAGAGACCTGTCCCAGGTGTCCCCCGCCTCTCGTACAGTGACAACTGGACATGGACACCAGTGACGACCCGTGCCCCGAAAAGGAAGAAGTGGGTAAAGATGGATGGATTTTTGTCCAAAATTAGTTTTGTTTTTTTAAATGAAGCAAAATTCTTTCCTCGTCTTTCCATCGATCGGAGTCGGTTTTTACATAAAGAATCTTTGGTCACTGAAAGAAACAGCAGCTGTGAATAATAACCTTGTGTTGTTGTTGTTTTTAAACAAATAGGAGCTGTTGTCCTCAAATGTTTTAGATTATTTCAGAGAGCTGGACATATACAAATAAATAAAGCAGCATTTAGTCCAAACTCAAATTCTTATAAATGTTTAAAAATGTCAGCAGGTGAGACCTTTGATACATTGGTAATTAAAAATGACATCAAATATTATTAAAGTAGAGACGTACGTTGCACAAAGCTCCAGAATCTTCTGGTAGTAAAGAATACATACAGTTTACGAACAGCGTCATAAACTGAGAAGAAGACCCGCCTGGTTTGATCTTTTATTACGTCCCATCTGGTCCGAGCTCGGGCCCTGAAGAGGCGGCGAGAGTTCAGGTTGTACGGAGGTCACCTTTAAAAGCTCCTGCACAGAAATCCTCTGTTGGTTCTGTACCATTTGAGTAAACACTTTTATCTGAGTCATATCTCCCCTAATGTTCCACAGGAAGAGAGGCATTATTAGTCCGTCGATACGATCCGAGCAGAACCAGAGTCTTAAAACCACTCCAGTCTTATTACCTGCATTATTTAAATTATTACAGTGCTGTCAGTTTTGATTACAGATGTTTTGGCATAAAAATGATAAAATTCTTGCCAGATTTGACGACAGGCTGCACCACAACATACTGCCAACTGCTGCTACTATTCGTGCTCGCAAATATCCACCGAACTCGTAATCAGCCGTGTAGTTTGAACCCGAGAGCTGCGTCACGGTCCATGAACTGATGTTGGGATGAACTGCTTTGTTTTAACACGTCAGTGCTTCATGAAGGTTTAATCTGCCTCCAGATTAACCTCTAGCTCCTCAGTCTGGGCTGAACTAAACTCAGATTCTCTAAACTCAGGCTGTTCAGGGAGAAGTCTACGCCTGCTGAGATTTAGCTGGAAGTTATAATCTATTTTTTTATGCATTTTGATGCAGACAACACAAACATTTTTAAATCCATTAAAAAAAATTTTTTTTTTAAATGATCGCTGCTTGAAAGTTTGTGAACTCTTTATAATTTTCTATATTTCTGCATAAATCTGACCTATAATTTTCTATATTTCTGCATAAATCTGACCTAAAACATCATCAGATTTTCACACAAGTCCTAAAAGTAGATGAAGAGAACCCAGTTAAACAAATGAGACACAAACATTATACTTGGTCATTTATTTATTGAGGAAAATGATCCAATATTGTATATTTGTGAGTGGTAAAAGTATGTGAAACTTTTTAACATTTTTTAGTCGGGTCATCTGGACAGTTTCTTTTTTTGTGCTGAAACGTTTCACCTTCGATCCAGAAGGCTTCATCAGTCAAGGAAACACACAACAAAACTGATTCTTCAACCAACAACTTCCTCCAAAGTGGAACAAACCAGTTCTGCTTGTGGTTGTCAGGAGGGCTGTGATCAGTTTTACATCGGGGAAACTAAACAGCCACTGGCCAAAAGGATGGACCAGCACAGAAGATCAACATCATCAGGCCAGGATTCTGCGGTCTACACTCATCTCCAGGACAGAGGTCACTCCTTCAGGGATGAAGATGTTCACATCCTGGACAGAGAGGAACGATGGTTTGAGAGAGGAGTAAAGGAGGCCATCTTTGTGAAAAGAAACCGTCCATCATTAAACAGGGGTGGAGGCCTCCGGGTTCAACTGTCCCCCTCTTACAATGCTGTGATTGCTAGTATCACTCAGCCCTCTGTGAACAGTAAACAGCCATCAGTGTGCTAATGATCCATTGTTAGGCTGATGGTCCTTCTTGAGCATGTGATCAGCTGGTTTTGGTTGTCAGCAGCAAACTGGTTGATCCACTCTGAGAAGGTGCTATTTAAGAGACTGAGCTGAATACAGCACCTCAGACTGAGGAAGTCTTTTGGATGAGAGACGAAACGTTTCTACATTTTGTTGTTTTGTTTTTTGAATGTCCAGAGGACCAGATTTAACTTTTTGGACCAACTATAATGTTTGTGTCTCGTTTGTTTAACTGGGTTCCCTTCATCTACTTTTAGGATTTGTGTGAAAATCTGATGATGTTTTAGGTCAAATTTATGCAGAAATATAGAAAATTATAAAGAGTTCACAAACTTTCAAGCACCACAATACTTAATGTTAATGGCAAGACGAAGAACCCTTAAGTGCCCGAGATATTTATGACGTGCACACAACAGAGAGTGAACAAGATGGCTGACCGAGGCAAATAAAAAAAATAAAACAGTTCTTTCTGCATTTAAAGCCAGTGTGTTCTACAGAAACTTGGAGGAGGGGAAGAAAATTAAAGTCCATTGCAACTTTAACTGCAACTTTAGTTCAATGGTTGAAACCTTGAGATCCACACTTTGGAGCCACAACAGAAAAATATAAGTCAAAATACCAACAGCCATTCTCACGCTCTATGACAGGACCAAAACCCAAGCAGGGGAAATACTGAAGAAAGTGGGCAAAATATTTAGTTTCTTTTACATCTTAGAGATTCTATGCTCAGGAATTTGAAACGAGATTATAGAAGCATCAATAATTGTTTTTTTAATTGCTCTTTAAGTTCATAACAAATGTTAGATACCTAAAACATTCCCCACCATGAGGTGAGATACTACTTTATATTAAGCACATAGAACCCCACTTCAAAATGACTGGAATATCCCTTTAAGGCACTAAAACTTTGTATGAAAATCTGAGAGAGTTAAAACTCCTCGAGACAAGCAGAAGTAAAAAAAATAAAAATAATAATTCACAGCAGCGGTGACGACAGAACAAATCTAGACGTGTTTTCTTGTTTTGCAGTCGGTGATGATCACACCAAACTTTATTTAGAAGAAATGGAAGCATCATGGAGGAACACAAGGCCGGTCATGTTTCCAAGCTGGAGGATTTCCTCAATGTAAATAACCAGTAACTCAGAGGTGATCTGACTCTGGCTGATAGATCAGTAGTTCATTCTTTATCAAACTAAAACTTTTAATTTACTGTTATTTATTTAAAAATACTACAGTGGCATTTTTTTTATTTATAAAAAAGTTCCTGTTGCTTTAACCGAGGTTTCAACTGTACCTTACTGGTTGGACGTTTGAGTTTTGAACGAGCTGGTGACGGTGGAATCACCTCCTCCACTGTCTGAGGTCCATTCCATCCAAAACTTCCCACACAGGTGGTTCTGAGTCACTGCACTCCTCCGGCCCCCATGAACACAGTATTGATGGGGGGCAGCGAGGACACCAGGTCTTGTACCTCTGAGGACGTTGTCCCATGCTGCTGGGACATCAGGGGGACATCAGAGCTGAACGGAAGTCCAAACATGCAGGGAGAAGAACCTGACGCTGGGAGGGAATGATCTGAGGAGCCAACACGAGACGGAGATAAAAAAAAAAAAGACCACTTTTTAAACAAAACTAAATATATAATATTAAGATAATTTTTTTAAAGTTTTATTCTGAAAAACTAAAAACACAGATTGTAAAAATATTGGGATGCTGTTGAAGGAAGTAAATAAAAACATCTGCAAATCTGCTGAAGCAAAATATTATCCACAACAAGACACCTAAAACATATCAGACACCAAAAATGTACATTTTTTCACTATTTTATCTCAAATATTAGTTGCTCCCATGATCCTCCACGCCTCAGTACTGACCGGCTCCGGGCTCTGCGTCACTGTAAAAGCCTCCCGTTGTTTTCCTTCCTGGTTCGTCCAGAAGGTTCAGTGGATCGTGAACTTCGGAGAACGTCGAAGGGAAGGGACGCAGGCTTCCGACGCTGCTGATGACTGACACGTGCTGGTCGACCAGAGGCATCATCCGCTGGCTGGCTAGGTAACTGCTATTGCCATAGTAACCTGTTGTTGAGATTTAAAAAAAAAAAAGAGAACTGAGCGTGCTAATTTTTTAATTTACAGGTGCTGGTCATAAAATTATAATACAAAAAAGTTCATTTATTTTATCAAAGACCCCTTATGACGAGTATAATCTATGGAAACGATGTTCCCTCGCCCGGACGTGGGTCACCGGGGCCTCACTCTGGAGGTGGGGCACGCTGGCGAGCGCCTGGTGGTCGGGCTTTTACCCATGGAGCCCGGCCGGGCACAGCCCAAAGAAGTGACGTGGGTCCCCCTTCCCATGGGCTCACCATCTGTGGGAGGGGCCAAAGGGGTCGGGTGTAATGTGGGATGGGTGGTGGCCGAGGTCGGGGACCCTGGCGGTCTGATCCTCGGCTACAGATGCTGGCTATTGGGACGTGGAATGTCACCTCTCTTGTGGGGAAGGAGCCTGAGCTGGGGTGTGAGGTTGAGAGGTTCCGGCTAGAAATAGTCGAACTCACCTCAACACATGGCTCTGGAACCAGTTTCCTGTGTCAGAGTATGGTCCATATTGCTGGCAGTAAGCCGGGCTCGTTCCCAGTGAGAGTTGGACTACGCCAAAGTTGCCCTTTGTCACCGATTCTGTTCATAACTTTTATGGACAGAATTTCTAGGCGCAGCCGAGGTGTTGAGGGGATCCGTTTTGGTGGCCTTAGGATTGCTTCTCTGTTTATTTGCAGATGATGTGGTCCTACTGGCTTCATCAAATCGTGATCTACAGCTTTCGCTGGAGCGGTTTGCAGCAGAGTGCAACGCGGCCGGGATGAGGATCAGTTCCTCCAAATCCGAGGCCATGGTCTTGAGCCAGAAAAGGGTAGAGTGCCCTCTCCAGGTCGGGGAGGAGGTCCTGTCCCAAGTGGAGGAGTTTAAGTATCTCGGGGTCTTGTTCTTGAATGAGGGAAAAATGGAGCGTGAGATCGATAGGCAGATAGGTGCAGCATCGGCAGTGAAGCGGGCGCTGTACAGGTCTGTCGTGGTGAAGAGAGAGCTGAGTCAAAAGACAAAGCTCTCAATTTACCGGTCAATCTACGTTCCTACCCTCATCTATGGTCATGAGCTTTGGGTTGTGACTGAAAGAACGAGATCTCGGATACAAGCGGCCGAAATGAGTTTTCTCCGCAGGGTGTCTGGGCTTTCCCTTACAGATAGGATGAGAAGCTCCATCATCCGAGAAGGACTTGGAGTAGAGCCGTTGCTTCTCCACATCGAGAGAAGCCAGTTGAGGTGGCTCGGGCATCTGTTTAGGATGCCTCCTGGACGCCTCCCTGGTGAGTTTCTCCGGGCACGTCCCACCGGGAGGAGACCCAGAGGAAGACCCAGAACACGAGAAGGGGGTCTCTGCAGACCAAAAGTGGGTGTTTCTGGCGAATAGGCGTTTATGGGCGGCGAACACTGATTGGCTAACAGTATTTAATAGGCGTTTGCCGGCGGCGAACACTGATTGGCTGTGGGTAACCCTCAAAGTCACGAGTCATTGATGAGGTAACGTTTCTTTGCGATATTTGACAAAGAAATATGGTTTATTGTACTTATAAAGTATGTTATGTTTTCACTTATGCATTTTATTGAAGTACGTTTATTGTAGGTCACGATAGTTTCGACCGTTCTCTCGTTGTTGTCGTAACGCACTGAGGTAAAGTGAGCCTCCTCTCGGCTCCTTTTCAAAATAAAAGCTGAAAATAAAAGTTCTTAATACTTGAAAAATAAATATTTAAAAGCTGTGTATAACTGAAAAATATGAAAAAAAATAAATAAATAAAAGTTGTTATTAGCTGAAAAATAAATAAATAAAAGCTGTTAATTATATCTATGTCTTTCTGCCATGTCAGGGACCTCTCTCACTTCAGACTGACTCTAGAAGACCCCAAGATGTTGCCCAACAATGTTGACCAACATCTGATGTTGACTTTCATTACTCAATAATGAGTAATAACTTATTCAATAAAAAGTCTGTAATTTGTCAATAATAGTCAATAATTCATTCAAGAATAGATTATGGGTGTTTGGTATGGCTCAGTGGCTAAAATGGGTTGGATGTTAGAGAAATTACTTAATTTTCAATTACCTGAATGTACAAATTCCTTCATTTATAGTTAAACTTTAGGAAATCAACTTTTTTTTTCTTGTGAAAAAAATATCAAAATTAACTTTAAAATCCAATCCAGGATTAAGTAACAACTAGCAACACCCTAACTGTACTATGTTCTGTGTTTCCAACAGATGCTACGATGACTTCTAAAAATGGATGTCCCAATAAACACAATAAAAAAATTCAGTGATGCATCAAATGTTGTCTGAGTATGTTTTAAGGTAATAACAAATGTGAAATCTGGAAAACAAATATCATTCCTGAATCTGTCTTGTGTGCTTTGATGTGTACATAAGTTTATTGGAGGTCCTGAAACAACTTTTCTGAGAACACAAAGATTTTTATTTTACCTTTGGCCAAGATGTCCGTTTGAAATCAGGCTGCTTACTGCAAAACCAAGAGGTTTTTTAAGACGGTCTTCATTTGTATTGTTTTGTCGACTAAGCTAAATGTAATTTCTAAAATATGGATAAATCTGATCTCATCATGCAGCATGAGCAACTGGGTACAGGTGTGAGGGCCAAAAGTCTGGTTATGTACTGACTCCTAAATGTGCTTGTTTTCTACTGAAACATGGAGTAGGGTTGACCTTTAAAATGTGAGAAAGCTGAGGAAGTTAACCAGTAAACAGAAATACCTGCTCCAGTTGCAGAAATCTTACAGAAACTGACAATCACTCATCTGCAGTGACTGCAGGTTGAACAAGACAATGTGAAGTTAAAGGAAACATCCTTTGTCCCAAGGCCAGTTTAAGTATCATTTATATTTTTCTTTCTTTATGAATCGATTGTAACTTTGTTCACATTTTTCAACAACCAAAATGGAATTTGTTTTTTTAATGTTATGGCTAGGTATTAAAAAAAACCCTAACATTTAGCTCTCCCCACTACCCAGTTATGTTGCTCTTATTTTGAAATGTAACCGGAAGTTCTGTGTTAAGAGAGTCGAAAAAAGAAGTTATGGAGACGCCGCGGCAGTATACTGGAGCAATGTCGAACCGAGACGCCGCCAGTGTTGAACCTGAGACGCCGCTAATGTCGAACCGGTTAACACCATAGACATAATATGCCTGTGGTTAACACAATCTGCCAATAACGCCTTGTTTTTAGACATCATGTGTCTGTGGTTACGGCATTTTATCGTTCAGCCTTTTTTTTTCTATCGTTCAGCCTTTTTTTTTTCTATCGTCCAATCAGATGTGGCCGTCCAGACACGCCCATTTTTCTATCGTCCAATCAGATCCGGCCGGCCAGAAACGCCCATTTTCCTATCGTCTAATCAGATATGACCGCCCAGATACGCCCACTTTCCTATAGTCCAATCAGATATGAGCGCCCAGATACGCCTTCCGAATTTGCCTGCAGAGACCCCTTCTTGCAGAACACGCTGGAGGGACTATGTTTTTCGGCTGGCTTGGGAACGCCTTGGGATTCCCCTGGAGGAGCTGGCCCAGGTGGCTGGGGAGAGGGAGTCTGGGCCTCCCTACTTAGGCTGCTACCCCCACGACCCGACCCCAGATAAGCAGAAGAAAATGGATGGATGGATGAAGTTGATTTATATCAGTAATTCCATGCAAAAAGTGAAACCATTCCAAAATGTGGGAGAGATTCACAAAGAGTGGACTGCAGCTGGAGTCAGTGATTCAAGAACCACCACGCACAGATGTATGCAAGACATGGGTTTCAGCTGTCGCATTCCTTGTGTCAAGCCACTCCTGAACAAGAGAGAGTCAAAAGCATCTCACCTGGGCTAAAGACAAAAAGGACTGGACTGCTGTTGAGGGGTCCAAAGTTAAAGTAAATTTTGTGTTTCCTTTGGAAATCAAGGTCCCAGAGTCTGGAGGAAGAGAGGAGACACAGAATCCACGTTGCTTGAGGTCCAGTGTCAAGTTTCCACAGTCAGTGATGGTTTGGGGTGCCATGTCATCTGCTGGTGTTGGTCCACTGTGTGTCCACAAGGTCAACACAGCCATCACCAGGAAGTTTTAGAGACTTCATGCTTCCTGCTGCTGACCAACTTTATGGAGATGCAGATTTCATTTTCCAACAGGACTTGGCACCTGCACAATGCCAAAGCTACCAGTAGCTGGTTTAAAGACCATGGTATCCTTGTTCTTAATCGACCAGCAAACTCACCTGACCTTAACCCCATAGAAAATCTATATGGAGTATTGTGAAGAGGAAGATGTGACACACCAGACCCAACAATTCAGAAGAGCTGAAGGCCACGATCAGAACAACCTGGGCTCTCAGAACACCTGAGCAGTGCCACAGACTGATCCACTCCATGCCACGCCTCATTGCTGCAGTAATCCAGGCAAAAGGAGCAACAACTGAGTATTGATGCTGTACATGCTCATACTTTTCAGTTGACCAACATTTCTAAAAATCCTTTTTTTTTTAAGTGGTCTTAATATTCTAATTTTCTGAGATATTGAATTTGGGGTTTTCATTAGTTGTCAGTTATAATCATCAACAATAAAATAATAAACATTTGAAATATATCAGTCTGTGTGTAATGAATGAATATACAAGTTTCACTTTTTGAATGGAATTAGTGAAATAAATCAACTTTTTTATGACATTCTAATTTTATGACCAGCACCTGTATAATTCTTACATTTTCTCAGCGTTCCACTTGGAGTTCATGCTGATAAAATTAGTATCTTACTGGGCTGCAACTGTTACGGTTTAGTTTATGAGGGACACTTTAAAGTGTGGACCTGAATGTTTGGGTCTAAACACTACGCTGATGATCAATAATAATTATTCAAAACTGATCTACATGGATCTGCCTTCATTTCAAAAGTGTACTCCAGTTGGTTAAACCGTGAACAATGGGGGGCAGCTGCCATGGGGGGAAAATGTGAGCAGAGGTGAGCTCTGACCTTAGCTGAAAGATAAGACACAATTTACGAGTACCGCATGCAGCACAATATACACCTGTTGACAAACTATTGTGTAACAATCTATAGCAATGGGCCAGATAAGAATAGACCTTGTGTAACGTCTGACCTTGATTTGTGACCTTGACCTTAACCTCGAAACTGGGCTGATGAAGACTATGTGACATGCTGTGTAGTTGTGGTACAACTAGCATCAAGTTTTGTTAAATTATCTTGAAAAGATCAGAAATATAGTAGGTATTCTGGTGGCACAGAGGTTAGAGGAGCGAACCTGTGATCGGAAGGTTGCCGGTTCGAACTCCTCCTGGTGACCATAACATCAAAATGAGAGCGTGAATCTGTCACCATCATCATTTGTCCCACTGGGCCCTTGAGCAAAACCCTTAACCCCTAAGCTGCTCCCCAAGGCACCCGTGATGGCAGTCCCCTGCTCCACACGTGGGCTGTGGTAGCTCGGCAGTCTGTGGTTGCGTTAGGGTGTCCATAAAACAACTGCCAATTCCTTGTCCATTAAAAAAAAGACCTCTCTCTATCCTTGTCCTTGATTGGCGATGTTGACCTTGGAGCTCAGATCATGAAAAGGGCACATGACGCTCTGTTGGTGATGACGCGTATGTGTATGAGGTTTTGTTAAATTATCTCGAGGGGTTCAGAAGTTAAGGGCAGGACAAGAGAAAGTTTACAGACGAACCGACGGTTGGCTGGAGACTATACCACAATACGTCCGCCTTTCGTTGAGTGTAAAATAATAAAAAGTGGACGGCCAAGTGCTGCCACGAAGCTCGCTGGCTGCCAAAGTAGGGGCCGAGATGGTAGAGGTAGGGCAGCCGACTTGGGACCAGAAAGTCGCAGGTTCAACTCCCCGCCATGCCCACATGTTGCGGTGTCCTTGAGCAAGACACCTACAGTAATCCCTAACTACTCCCCAGGCGTTTGCTGCCCACTGCTCCACCCGGGTGTATTTCACGTGTGATGGGTTAAATGCAGATGTTATCACTGTATGGGAACATACGATGACGACACGTAGCACTTATTCAGTGAGACAATTAGAAAAATTTGCATATTTTCTTGCAATTTTTCTCCAATTTGGAGTCGTCAAGACGTCAAAAGTTGCAGCCCGGTGAAATGTGTTTACACCTGGTCCCACGGTTGTTTTAAAGATTTAAGACATGAAGAAAATGTTCTAAAATGAGTTTCTGTGTAAACTTAGAAAACAGGACGGTTCCACAAATCATCCCACGTTCATCATCCGAGGGAGGCGAACTACAAAAACACTTTACATTCAAACATCTGAAACTAGATTAGTTTGTCTGAAAACATGTTTGAGACTTTTTAAAGTTATCAAATCAGTTTATAGTTAACGTACTTATGTTTTTATCCTTTGACAAAATATAGAAGAGAATTTTGATGTTAAGTTTAAGTATTGGGGCAGCAGAAGTTTATAAAAATAGATACTTGCGTCTAAAAAGCAGAACATGTCCGTCACCACTGACTTTCTAAACTGGCTGAGGATAATTTCACTGCAAACAGAATTACTGCTTGGTTTTTCTACATCCAACCAGTTTTAGGTTCTACCTGGAATAATGTAACTTGGAGATTTGATAAGTTTAAAATAATGACAGCTTTTACACATTCTCAGAATCTCTCACTTTTTACCATTGTGTCCTGTGACAGAGTACGTCTGCCCCTGACAACCACCACCGACGAGGTTCAGCCCGGTCCCGACGAAGCCCAAACCCTCAGCACAGTCCACAATGTGAGCTGCTGACTGCTGGTCCAGTCCTTGTTCCGTCTGAATCGGGTCCGAGCCAGGAGCGTAGCTGGACGTCGGCTGCACCGCAGAGCCGTAAGGCGTCATGGAGCAGTCGGAGCCGCCGGAGGTCTGATGGATCGCTGATGGATGATGGTTGTAGAAGACGTCTTTAGTCAGGGGCTGGTCGCTGATGGAGGGGTACCAGAGGAGGTGGCAGCCCAGAGGAGAAGCTTGAGACTGAACTGGAGTCAGACACTCACTCTGGGCCTGAGGTCTGAAACATTATATGGAATATGAAAATCTAAATGAATCAAATCATGGTTTACCACAAGTAAACTGTTTATTGCATGTGTGTGAACTGTTAGCGTGTTATATTAAAATTATGAAATTTATTTGCTTTGATGAGACGTAACATTACTTTAACCCTTTTAGTTTAGATGTTAAGAATTATTTTACGTAAAGTAATAATGTAACATAATATAAAGCTGAAACAGCTCAGGTTGTGAATAAATCTGACCTGAGAGCAGCCTGACCGTTCGGAGCTGAGGAGCAGCTAACTGGAGGAAAATAACTGGTGCTGGTCTGAGGTGAGCAGTGGTACAGGGTCTCCTGGTACGGGGGGCAGGGGGCGTGCTGGGTCATCACACTGAGAGACGAGAGGCAGGAGGATGAGGAGAAGGAGCAGGAAGTCAGGGGCCTCCCTGCCATGGGCGCCTGGTTGATGACGGAGCCTCGGTGCACCAATGCAGCTGGAGAGACGGGAGGCGTCATGAGGGGGACGCTGACCTGAGAGAAGTCCATCGGACCACCTGAGAGGGAGAAGACAGGAAACAGCTGAGTTTGGACCTAAACTACTAATCCTCCTGGGACCGCTGGTCTTGTTCCAGATGATCTGGAGCTGCGTCGTCATTGAGCTTTACCCTCCGTCTCTTTGGCTGTCTGTATGTTTCTACGTTAAAGAAGTTCTCCTGTCAGGAGTTGGAATCTCTCTAGTTAATTTATGGTGAAAAGAAAGTTATTAAGGCGAATAAAAGCCTCCACTCTGTCTGAAGAAGCTCATTTCTTTACGTTTTGTTTCCAAACAGCACATTCCAATTCTTTTTAAAGTGATTTATATTTCTTTTGACTTTATTAATGTTTTGTTTAAAGTTTTCTTTGGACTGTGGTTGCTTCACCAGCTTTCTGGACAGTCAGTTTTATTTTCAGAGGAACATTTTCTATGTTAACTCACGTACCGCTGACCTGTGAATTATTCAGATAGAAAAATCCAGAAACTCAAAAGAACGCGTCGTCGACACATAACAGACAATTGAACATAACAAAACTATTTTAAACTGAATCTTTAATTAACCTTAAAGTTTCGGCCTCAACTCGTCCTGGGATACTACAGATCCAGCTGCTGTCACTTTAATCTCTAGAACACAGATTTAGTCGCCGTATTGGCTTATTTAACAGACACTTTCATGCAAAATGATCCAACAGTTTATTTCTTCACATCGGTTGGTCAACCTGTTCCCCCAGCTCCGTTTGAGGATTTGAAACAAACAAAACAAAAAATTAAATAATTTTATTTTTATTCAGGGGTATTAAACTAATTTATAAAAGTGGGCCAAAATTAAAAACTCAGTTTCAGTCGACACCGACTTCCTGTTGCTCTTCATTAAAAATCTCAGCTGATTGAAGTAATTGAAGATTTCGAGTTGTCATAAAAAGTCTGCGCTAAATGGAGTATTTATCTGTTTGTTAAAGCAAAATGAAAAGCGATACAAATGTTCTACGTTTAGAATGTCTCGGGGGGCCAGATGAAGTGTTAACGAGCAGCAGATTTGGCCCGCGGGCCTTCAGTGTGACACGTGATTTACCTGAAGCTGTAAACCCGGGAGCGTTGTTCTCCTGGTAGACGATTGTTTTTGATTCCAGGCTCTGCTGCCGATTGGTGGACAGCTGAATGTAGGCGTGCTCTCCCAGAGACTCGTTCTTCACCGATTGGTCGGAGGAAACGGACACTTTGTTCCGATTGGCTAGAAAGCAGGAACTGGGTGACGCCATGAACGCTGCTTTACTGGCATCTGAAGGGAACATGACCCAACAAACATCTGTTTACGCTTCATACACGTTTCTCTCTGTTGATGTCATTTAATTATTATTGGGAGTTCAATGTAAACTAAAATATTGTGACATCTAATTATGTTTTTATTTAACATGAAGTGTAAATCGAAGGTTTACCTCTTTCTTCACAATATTTTATTTTAGATTGTGTGAAAATGATCATTTATCACATGTCTGTCCAATATCAACACTTTAAAGATGCTTTGAGTTCTGACAATTTAAACATTACTACCCCACAAAAATCAACACAAACTTTCTAGAGCCATTTTATGAAAGTTACATTTTTATTTATTGTAGGTCTGAAATGTGCATTCTTGATGCTTTTTTTTATTTTTATAATAACATACTGTATATGTTCTAAATCCACTCAGCATGGTTTTGAATTTAATGTAGGACTGTAGTTGTAGTTAAAAACACTGAAATAGTTTAATTTTTATAAAAGACAATAAAAATATGTAAGATGCTCAGCTCACATCTTCTGTAAATAAAATACAAACCTGTAATTCAGAGCTGATTCAAACATGAATTTGTGTTCAGCACATTTATAAACTTTTTCAGCCACCAAAAATGCAAATATCTGACCAACATGCCCCCCCCACACACACACATTTTTCAGTTGTGAATGTGGTTTAAATAATGTACAATTTAATTAACTGTGTTTTATAGGCTGTAATGTGTGCCAGTGATAATGTAAAGGGCACTGTTGAAAATATATTTGATTCAACAATTTGGGATAAATTTAAAATAAAAAATAAAAGTATTTTACATAAGACATATTTCAAAACTTATCGGTGCAAAACCTTTGTTCCACAGTGCAAATGTTTAATGTAGAGAAGTTGCATACGGCAGAAAAATGCTGCTCAGAATAAACAGGGCAGGTTTCCCTACATCGGTTCAGCAGTTAGATTAAGATGCACTTTGTTTGCGTTTGCAGGCGTCATCCAGTTCTCTGGACTCATTTGAGTTTTTAAGATACATATTTTTAAGATTATTTATTTATTTTTATTTCTATTAGGTTTTATTATTTGTTTTCTTTAAACTTGTGTTTTAAATTACCATATTTTGGTCATACATAGCACAGCATCAATAGAATTTATGTGCCGTATTTTCTGCCGTACACATCACACCGCCCTATAAGTCTCATCAGTCCAAGTACGTCTAATAAAGTGGAAGAATCCATAAATACGTCACTTCGCCGTATACGTCGCATCTCTTATGCGTCACCGCCGACGCGTTTGTTACACGTCACCACTGACAACCCAGAAATGTGGGCCGGTGTTGTGCCAAAAATCGATTGGCTGCCAAATGGCGGCCGTGGGAGCGTGCACGGGAGGACTTCAACAAGAATTTAAGAAGAGTAACACTTAAAAACAATTATTTGTTTGCTTGAAATCATAGTAAAAGTGTGTCTCAGTTGAACTCTTTCTTAATAAAAAAGGACTAACGGTCAAATCAGCTGTAATTCAAAAGTATTCGCTGCCTCGGTGCTCCGGGAGAACGCTGACAGGGAGGAAATCAGGAAGGAGAAACGCTGCGCATTTCTTCAGAATTTAACAAGATAAGCACCTAAAACAATTATAGTTTGCTCGACATTATAGTAAAGGTGTGTCTCAGTTTAACTTTTACTTAATAAATGCACTTCAACAGTCAAATTAGCTGCATTTCGCCGGGGTGACGCAATGAACTGAAGCTGATTCGATGGTTGTTCCAAGCAAGCAGCCTATGGCAGCTGATTGTGTCATTAATAGTCACTTTTACTTACTACATGACACAACAGCATGCCATACTACTCGAGTGCCATCTAGCGGTCGAAAATTGTAGTGCAACATTTTCAATGTCAGAATGAATGAAAACGTTCAGATCTCAGCAAAAAATTGGTTTATAAATATTATATTATATTATATAATATATATTAATTATTAATTATATTATCAGCATACAAGTCACAGGGCATGTACATTATGCAAAAATAACGTGACTAATAGGGCGAAAAATACGGTACTTACTTTTTATTGTATAGCCAGAAAAAGACCGAAGTGGCATAATTCTAGCTAACTTTTAGGATTTTGTGAGTGTTGTGATGTTTGGTACCTGAGTTTTTCATGTATTTGTCCAGCAGATTCTGCAGGTCCTGCTCCTTGTCGTTGTTGAACTGGGTTTCCAGAGCCAACAGGATGTACTCGTCTAACAGCATTCTGATCAGATGGAAGGAACCTGTGAACATCAGAGATGTCCAGGAGAGAGATCATCGTCTTTTCTGATGTGTCAAACTGCAAACACAAAGTCATGCTGAGCTGTTTGACCTTCAGGACCGAGTGGCTCTTTGTTTGACCTGCGCGGCTGCGGGCTTGTGTTTGAGCTGCAGTAGGACCTGGAGGAAAGCTCGACCCACCAAATGGTCATTGTTTATTCACGCACACGTCGCCCGTGTGTGTGTTGTTTGAACAGCGAGCGCACGAACCACAGATAAGATCCTGTGTAATCAAAGCAAGTCTGGCCATCACGATTTACGATGTTATTGTAGCAATCAGCTTTGGGCTGGCTCGTCTCTGCATGTGTGGGATTTTTGGAAAACTACATGGATTTTTAAGACAAAAATACACAAACAAGCTGCAAAAACAAAATAAACTACATTTGTCTAAATGACTAAAAGTAGCGAGCATCCTTCAATGTATGAACAGTGTTTATAACCAACAAAGTCCATGCTCAATAATCCAGGTATACAATCGTTTCAGCACAAAAAAAAAACTTGTCCAGATGACCTGACTGAAAAATGTTGGAGTGTTTTATAAATGATTATTAATGTTGTATATACAGTGTTAAAATCTCATGTATAACTCTTTTTTTTTTATAAAGCATTAATAAATCCTTTATAAAAGTACCCTTATTATAAAGTGGGGCAGTTTTTGAGAAGGAGCATTTTGGATTTAATGAATTTTAAGAGCAAACTATTTTAAAGGACTGCCTGTAATGACTGCCATATAATCTCTATTTTTTAATTCCACCATTGCATCGTCTTCGTCTGCATCGTTGATTTTTCTTCTTCTTCTGGATGGCAAAAACTACCTAAAAATATAAAACCATTTGATTATGTTTCAATGAACAAATATTTGTAACTCATGTTGGCAAAATAAGTCAGAACGAGCAAAAGCTGCAGTGCAAAAAAAATGTGAAAATATTGTTTTAAACAATACAATAATTGAGATTTTTACAACTATATTTATAAAGCACTTTACAAACAACACTATTTGCCAAAGTGCTGTAAAACAACAAAATAAAGGTAAAAAACACCCAAATTAAACACATTAAAATTCAAAATAAGAATAAAAACTATAAAATAAATTTAAACGATTAAAAAAAAAATTTAAATCCAAAAACAATAGGAACAAAAAAGCGCACATTTTGAACTGAGTTAACTGCCAAACAGAAAACAAACGTGTTTTAAGTGGGGATTTTAAACAGGAAGTAAGTTGGCCTTCATATTGTACGAAGAAAATCTACACAGAGTAAAAAAGAAAGAGTAACTACGATAGTAACTTAAATATATTCTTCCTAATCTACATTTAAGTCAAAGTTATCTAACAAATATGCCTTCAGAAATAATCCTTTTAAATGCATTCTTTATGAAATTGACTATTTTTCTCTGTACGCCGTAACATGAGGAAATCCCTTTATATAAAGCTTGACGTCAACGTGATAGAGCTGAAATTTCTGATGACATCGTTCCAGACTGGTAAAAATAAAGTTTTCAAATCGGCACTTTGATAAACAAAACCAGCCTCTTTCCAAGCCAGGCGATAAATCACCTAAATTAAACTAATTTTTAAACTTTTCAGATGGAAAATCAATTTAAAACATTTATCTCTGACTTATTTTACCAGTAGGGGTCACATTTATCAACTATAATGTTTTGGTGTATTTTTGTGAGTTAAATCAGGATTTTGTTTATTTGTTTTGCAAAATTGAGCAGAAATAATAAACAACACCGTCTTATCAAATCCATCTTCAGATGGTTTAACCATGGTAACTATGAAACTAGCCCCTCCCTCTAAAAATACACTCTCTGCTTTAATTGGTCAGCTCCAGTGGCCTGATCAGGCTCCGCCCACTGTCCAGCCCCAGAAAACTTTTTTTTAGTTAGTTGCCAAGTTAGCATGTAAGCAAAGATGTTTCAACTTTCAGAAAATGTTTTTAGGACATTACATTTTGTAGTTATTGACATTAAAACAAAGAATTAAAATTAAAAAAATCATAAATCTTTTTCCATTTACTGACCGAAGCTGGAGGCGTTGTTGAGCGTCAGGTTGTGCATCACCCTGGCACCGAAGAAGCTCCACCGGAGGAGGAAATCCTGAGCTCGCTTCTTCAAAGATCGACCGATCTGTTTACCGGGCTGAAGAAAACAAAGACGGAAAGAAAAAAATACTCATATTCATATATTTGTGTATTTCCTGTGTGAATGTGAATTTAATACATAGAAGAGGCCAGTTGTCACCTTGATGACTTTATGCTCGACCACCGAGTCCAACCACTCGATGAATGACTCGACCGTGGCGTTTTTTCTCAGCAGCTCCTTCAGTTCCTGAAACACCGTGACAGAATCATCTGCACAAAAAGACAAAGAAGAAAACTCATCAAGACAGAAAACAAAACTTTTCATCTAAATTAAAGTTATACAAGTTGTGCAATTGTAATTAAATCACGGGTTAGGATGTAAAAAACTGAACATGACAGTGGTTCTCCTACATAATGTTCAAGTGTATGACGATATGCTTGAGTGCACAATCATGTTTTATTTATCGTTTTTATGCATTTTTATGCCACTTTCTTAAAATGTTTAGCATATAATAAGGTTTCGTATCAAATGCACCTAAAGAATAAGAAACATTTGATGCAAACTGAATGTTTAACAGATCTTTGTTAAATATCTGCTGATCTCAAATTTTATGTTGCATTCTGTCATGAATAAACAAATAAATAAACATATATATTTTTGAGGTCAAAAGCAACTTATTGAAATTAGATTTTTTTTTTAAGTTTATAAAACAAGCGCTTTTTTTGTTTTAAACTTCCTATAACTTCAACATCATGCAGTGCTTCCCCTTCCATTATGTAGAGATGATGCATATGTTAAAAATGTCTTCACGGATGAGAAGTTCTGAGCAGGACAAGAGAGAGTTTAAAGACATACAGACAAACGGAGACTACAATAATTCATCCGTCTTCAATGGGCGTATAAAAACATTAAAAATCACAATAAAGAGTCTTTTCCATTAGCATCACTGTAAACGCTCACTTCATGCTAGTTTTCAATAAAAAACAAACGTCCTGAAGAAATGTAAAGATGAGTTTGTTGGGCTCACACTCGGAGTAAATATCTGCGTCCTGGTCTCCAGCAGCCGACGTGCTGAGCAGAGGCTGAGAGACGATGCCGTTCAGATCCACGAGGTCGATATCGAGCACCATGCTGGTCACCACAGCCTGGTCGAAAAGAGCCGGGCGAGCGATCTGGAAAAACGCAGGCGTGGTTCCAATCACTGCACGTGTTGCAGAGACGGAACTTACTGTGACGTCGCTGTACCTGCGCCAGGTGTAGGAAAGACGTCTGTCTCTTCAGGGAGGAGACAAAGCGGCGTGCTATGGGGAGCTTCTTAGCTGCAAGGCATTCTGGGAGGTTTTCCAGAGAAGAGGCTAACCAGTGCTCCCAGTGTTTGGCAAAGTTTCTGATATCTGCTAACAGACTGGTAAACATGGTTTACATTAAAACATGAATGTGATATTTAACATGACTCGATGAGAGTCATGAAAACAACTTTGGCATGCAGAGAAAATGGAGGAGGATTTATGTAACGAACCTTTCAGGCATCTCCTGCATTGTGGCAGGGATCAAAACATCTGTCAAAACCTGAAAAAATGAACCTCATTACAGCAGAGCAACACAAATCAGACAGGAGGCTGCAGGGATATTTTACTTTCATGTCTCTGACTAATTAAACTTCAGGTTTTTGTTTCACTGTCCACAAAAAAAAGTGTAACAGATAATCTGGATTTGATGCATTCAGTAAAAGTCCAACAGAACACTTGAAAGTCCTAAATCTATTCAGCAGAAATAACTCGGACATCTAAAGCAACAGTCTGCTGACAAAACAGATGATCTGAGCACTGTTGAGTTTATCGACCTAACGTTCCTTGAAGGAACTCATTCCGCTGCTCCCTGGCACGAGTTTTAGTCTGAGATCAGCTTATGATGAGAAATGACGACGTTAGAGCCATTTTGTTTAAACCTTATAATGACATCATGCGTCTTGTATCAGCTGACTTCAGTGTTGGGTCTGAAGCAGTGGTGCACAACCTTGGCCCTCCAGGGCCACCGTCCGGCATGGTTTAGATGCTTCTCTGTTTCGACATCTGATTTAAATGAAGCAGAGATGACCAGGCTTCTACAGAACGTAAAGGTCTGTGAATATGTGAATGAAGTTTAGTTAAATTGTCTTGAGCTGATCAGAAGTTATGGGTGGGTCCAGAGAAAGTTCATGGATGGAGGTATGGAAACTATACCATAATACGGAGTATAAAAACAGTTTGAATACAGACAAAAAAATAAACATTACGCTCAACATAATTCATAAAACAACCAACAACGTGCCTTTTTTTTTTTTTTATCTAATAAAAAAGTAAAGGTTTAATTCAAACCTTGTAGAGCATGGAGTCGCAGACGCAGAAGATGTCGACTATGACGGGGATTTCCAGCAACGGCAGCAGGTGGTCGGGCATCCCCTGCCAGAAGTGGAGCAGGAAATTCTGGATCTGGAAACAAAATTGATATAAGTTATAGTGGGCACATAAACTTTTATAAATATTAAATAAACTGCTGTCACCTCTTCAAAGTTGACATTGATGGCGTTATCCAGGATGCACTGGCAGTGCGTCTTGTACATCATGATCAGGGTGTCCACCTGCCAGGGAGAACGTCACGCTCGTTACAAACTGTTCGTCTGTGAATCCTCGTCCGTTTCTTATAATCTACAAACGTAGAACTAAAGGGACAGCGTCCGCTCTGGAACCTTTTCTTTGGAGACGTTTCCGTGCAGCAGAAGATGCTGAGCGCTGGGGAAGTCTGGGAGCAACGTTCCAGTTTTAGAGCTCAAAGAGTATTTCCTCGTAAATCCACCCTGAGAAACGAAGCACCGGGTCCGTTTCGATTAGTTCAAAAGGTACAATGTCACAAAGAAAAAAGTAAAATCATAAAAATCATAAAGTAAGAATTTAAATAGGCATAATATTTTTCAGCTGAAAATGGTAGTGTTCAATATTTTCCGTGTCAGAATAAATGCGATCGTAGCTAAAAATATGAAAAATAGCTAAAAACAAAGTATTTGACCCTGAATGAAAACAATGAATCGACAGGTATCTTTGGCTCTCTTGCTCCTCGTTGATCCTTCCGTCAGGAATCTTGGACCGTTTTTAGACAATGCTTTAAAATCTGAGAAGCGACTACAGTTGTCAAAACCAGTTGTGTGTTCTGTCAAATTGCTAAAGTGAAATCTTACATTCCACGGAAACAACGTTAAAACACTTGTCCATGCCTTCATCACCACTGGACTGGACTACTGCAACTCTTTATATGCTGGCCGGTCTGGCCCATCGTCTGCAGTTAGTCCAGAACGCTGCTGCACGCGATTTAACAGGTACAAGAAGCCACGAGCACATCACTCTGGTTTTACTGGCTGGTTTAGATTTTAAGGTTCTTTTAAGTGGACTTCTTCAGCTTTATGACTAACAGAGCACTGGAATCACCTCTGTGCAGATAAATGAAAGCACAGAGGGATCGGGCCCCCAGACTCTGGGACAACCCGCCTCACAATACCTGTACAGCAGAATCTACAAACATCTACCGTATTGTTCGCTGTATAAGTCACACATTTTTGCATAAATTTGCCAGTCCTGTGACTTATACATCGAAGCGACTAATATACCCCCCCATATTTATAATCCTATTTTTGGCTGAGATCTGATGATTGCATTCATTCTGACATGGAAAATATTTAACACCAACATTTTCAGCTGCTAAAGGGCCCTCGAGTAATATGACAAGCCAAGTGTCTCATTAATAAGTAAAAGTGACTATTAATGACACACTTGGCTTGCCATACAAGGAACAGGACAAGTAAACGGGAACTCCTGGAGCAAACGTCAAATCAGCTGCATTTCGCCGCGCCACACAGGCGAAATGCAGCTGATTTGACCGTCAAAGTGCATTTATTAAGGAGAAGTTCCACTGAGACACAACTTTGCTATAATTTCGAGTAAACAAATAATTGTTTTTAAGTGTTAAACTTGTTAAATTCTTGTTAAAGTCCTCCCATGCATGCTCCCGCAGGCGCCATTTGGCAGCCAATTGATTTTTGGCACAACACCAGCCAACATTTCTGGATAGTCAACGGTGACACGTAACAAACGCGACACGTCAGCGGTGACTCATAATAGATGCGACTTATACGGCAAAGCAATTTATTTATGTTTTTTCCATTTTATTTGACATATTTTGCCCGATGACACTTGTACGGTAGAAATTACAGTAAATCCCATCTGAAAACAACTTTTTTTACTTTGGCTTTTTATTCCAGTTCAGGTCGAGTTCCAATCAGATTTCTGAGGTTGTGGCGTTTTCATGCTTTAGTTTGTTTCAAACTATTTTGTTGTACTTGTTTGTTTTTGACGTTTGATTATTTTAAATTTATTTTATTCAACGTTGTTCCTGTTTGTTCTTAACCTCATGGTGAAGGACTGTGGTCAACATTGTTGTTTTTAAATGTGATAAATACATTTTATTTACACTCCAAAGCCGTCTCTTGCAAGTGCAAACAGTTTAGTTGTGGCACTAAGAAGGTTTCAGGAATACAAAACTAAAATAAATGTTGCCGGTGGGAGATGTGTGACACTTTTGGATGCAACTTTAATTTAATGAGGTGATGAATTGCATTTTTGCAAAAAAAAAATTCCACATCAAAACTCGTGTTTACAGATTTTAATGTTATAACAAATAACTATAAATTAAGTAAGCAAATGTTAAGATAAAAAGCAAACATTACGCTCTTTGAATTCCTGGACGTTTGATTTTGCAGAAGAGTAAAAACTACCTCATTCTTCAGCTTGCTTCCTGAAAACCTGAAATTGAAACAAAACGGATTCAAAGTAAAAAACAAGTAAATGTTTTAGAGAGAAAACTGTCAGCTCTTCAAATTGTCAAATAGCTCAGCACATTTTTGACAAAAATTAAAAATCTAATCACGTGACTTAAACTCGTGCGTTTATCAAATATTTTGGAGGTCAGATTCACTTACCTGGTCAAACCTTTTCCAGAATACACAGAGTGATAATAAGCGCTGCTCTCTTTGATGCCAATCCCATAGTAATGATATCTGTGAAAATGATGACATCAAATAAATCTGAAATTGAAAACAGGATAAGATGTTGTGTAGTGTTTTTTATTTTACTTGGAGTGTCCTCTGGTACCGAGTCTTCTTGTTGTGAGGAGAGGAAACTTCTGTCGGATCGTCTGAGGGAACAGATGTAAAGAGTTGGTTAGAACTAAAAACATTTTTATTATTTTATACATGCCAGTAGAGCTGCAAGCATCATCAATAATCACCTGCAACTTATGATCCAATTCATAAAATCTGCAAAACATAACAAAACCAACCCACCTTTCCAAACGTAGCAGCACAGGCCGGCTCGAGCTTCTCTTTCCTGCAGAAGTCCAGATAGTGAGCGTAGAGGATGCATCGAGGCAAACACACTCCTTCACACACGATGTAGTTCTCCTCCAGCCTGTTGACACACAGTCACTCATGAGATCGTTAAAACAACATCAAGGTACGCTGGAGGTCAGCCCTCTGGGTTGGAGGGAGTCTTTGCCTCAGGTGGAGGAGCTCAGGTATCTGGACGTCTCGTTTCCAAGTGATCGTAGGACGGAGAGGGAGACAGACTGACGGATCAGGGCCTCGTACTCAGTAATGAGGGCGTTGCTTCGGCTGGCCGTGGTGAAGAAAGAGTTGAGTCAAAAGGAAAATCTCTGGATGTATACACATCTGTCCACGCTCCAACCCTCACTTGCAGTCATGAGGTCTGGACCATGACTGAAAGAACGAGATCCAGGACACAAGTGGCCAAAATGAACTTCCTTCACAGGGTGGTTGGGCTCAGCCTCAGAGATGGAGGAGGAGATCACAAAGATCTACAAATCATGGCTTAAATATGCTACACAAACCAGAAACATTTTATATTTGTGTCAAACAGCAGAAGTTTTATGTTTAAATTTAGCATCAATATTATTTTAATCATCGTTGATATTTCTGATCATTTTAGATCTGTTAATAGTAATAATAATAATAGTAATAATAATAAAATGCGGACAGCAGGACTGGGATCGTCCCCAGACACCTGCAGCTGGCTGTCCGCAGCGACGAGGAGCTCAGCAGGCTGCTGGGAGGAGTGGCCATCGCTCAAAGGAGTTCTGACCGGCATTCGGGCGGTCCTGCAGCCCGGAGGAACCGAGAGGCCAGGTGGACGGATCGGGCAGCATCTGCGGACAGTTTCTTCGGGGACAGACCTTTACAAGAGATCCTTCCTGCCTACAGCCATCAGCATCGATAACATCTCTTAATGAAACCAGGATAATGAGTTACGTTTAATTTACCTTTGGGATTAATAAAGTATTTTGAAAGTTCCAAACAGTCACTGCTCCTCTGCATAGAAGGGAATCAGCTGAGGTGGTTCGGACATTTGATTAGGATGCCCCCTTGACATTGTTCATTCCTACTCATCCGCTCACAGACTCATGTTCGTGCTGCTGTTCGGCGTATTGTTTTTGTACAACTAGTGCTTAACGTATTTCATAGTTCATATCTTAGATCTTATTAATGTTTTTCTTGTACATTTTATGCTTTTGTTGGATGTAACTGGGACCCCGTGAACACAATTTCATTCCACCACATGCACCACATGCGATGCGAATGACAATATGTGCTTTGGTGAGAGACACACAGCAAAAATATTACTGTACCCTCATTTGGGAGAAAATGAACTTGGAAGAACTGTGAGCACAAAACTATCCTTAACCACGATGAACTGAAAAATGATGACTGGAGGAACGAGTGATCTTCTGTGACGGAGATCTTTGTTCAATTTAATATTTATGCTTATCTACCAAACCCTTACAGCAGGAGTAAATAAACTAATAAAGTAGTTCCTCCTGGATCTGTATTCAGCCCACTACGACATGTACTGTATATAAATTATTGAATGATAAAATATTTGTTTAAAGAAACAAAACTGAGCAGCAATTGACTTGCTGACGTTGGAGCTCCTACCACTGCAGAGTGAGCTGCGTTTGTTTCTTCTTGTCCTTGATGATCTGACTGATGGTCTTCCTGGAGGAACCGATGCTTTGCTTCATGGTCAGGTCTGAGTTTAGGTCCACCAAGTCGCGATCATCTTCAGACGATGGTGTCTCGTTGTCGTCTTCTTTTTAGAATAAGCACAAATTCAACACAGAGTTGATCAGCACTGTTAGTTGTTGGTCGCATTTTAGTAAAAATGTACAAAATAGGCAATCTATTAAGATTTGTCAGAATAAATAAATAAATACTAAAAAAAAACAAGCATTTTAAAGCACAAACTCAATTTTTAGAAAGCTGTACATTTTTAAAGCTATTGCAGCGTTTCCCCTACAATTATCCAAAGAGTGCTCCCGCCCTGTCAACAGAACCGAACGCTCTGCCTACCGAACTGTCACCCCCACCCCCGTCAACAAAAATCACAGGAAAGGAGTGTTCTGGCAAGTGATCTAGGGGAAACACCGATGTGTACTTTCTTTGCTTACTTTTATAAAAAGGTACTCATTGCAGAGTCCCAGGCCTCCCTTGCAAAAGAGATCCGTGACCTCAGTGGGAATTGTCTGAGTAAAGAAAGGTTAGTACTGGTAATAATAGGTTAGTACTGGTAATAATAAAGTATGAACTCAAACAGCCGACATGGTGGCTCAGTTGGTAAAGTTGTTGCCTCTCGGCAAGAAGATCACCGGATCAAATCCCATCAGGGACCATCTGGGTAGAGTTTGCATGTTCACTCCGTGCATGCGTGGGTTTTCTCTGGGTACTCTGGTTTCCTCCCACAGACCAAAAACATGCATGTTAGGCTGACTGGTAACTCTAACTGTCCCTAGGTGAGAGAGAGAGTGAATGGTTGTTTGTCTCTATATGTCCCTGTGATGGACTGGACACCTGTCCAGGGTGTCCCTGCTTCTCACACAGTGACTGCTGGATATGGGCACCAATGACCCCCGCGACCTGAAAATGAAGATGCAGGTAAAGATAACGGATGAACTCAACATAAAGTGTTATCCTGACATGTTTAAGAGTTTACTCCAGTAGATTTCCAGGTTATGAAACTCTGAAATGTGGGTCTGCAGTCAATGTAAACAAAGTGACTGAGTCACATGATTGACCCACGCTAGGCCGGCTGTAGTCCAAGTAAACAAATATGGCCGATAAGTTGAACCTGCTTTCAGTCACTTCAGCCGTTTCTGTAGGTAAACGAACTCAGCTGGTTGTTGGCTTCTGGTCACTGATTTTTCTTACAAAGATTTATTTAAGGACACGACAACGGGAGCAGATTTTGTTTAATAGTTAAAGATAGTTTTTGTTCAGTTTCTACGACTTTGCAATGACTACCTTTACACAAACACATGAAAAGGATTATTTTAGTGTTTTTACAAAACAATACGTGTAAATCCTTACAGAAAGGAGTTACTTTTGTGTTTTCTGATTGAACTCGACTGTTTACTAGAGAAAGTTGCTGTGATCAAATTATAAATTGATTACTTTCTTTCACAATACAGTGACGATTGTTGAAGACAATAAAAATAAGTTTGAATGTTAAAAACAAACCTGCAGATTCAGGCTGTTGTTGTAACAAGTAGACTTGTAAAACCTGAGCTGCAATCAGAAATAATTCAAATATACTTTTTAAAGTTACAAAATAAAAGTAAACAGAAATAAAATTACGACAGGACTCAACAAGTCATCAATAATAAACAACAACAACAGCAGAGGCTTAAGAAGAAATAAACAACAATGTGCTTATTGATGCCATTAATCATCAACAAAATGAGTTCATTTCTGTGTTTCTGATGAGCTGTCTGCACAAATAAAGCGGACATTTCTCCCCTAATGAACTATTTGACAAGTAATTCTCTAATTTATTTCAGATTCAATGTTTCCTCAGAAAACTTCACTCTTCAAGGTTCTTCTTTTAAACTTCGCAGCTTTAATTTAATCCGAGCGCAGACCGATTAGTTTTCGTTTGCCTGACCTTGGAAAGATGATTTGTGCCACTGTTTATCCCTCGACTCCAACTGTTTACTGCTCTGCACAAAAAGGAAACAACAAATGTTGAAAGAAATCATCAACCTGGCCGTTACGTTTTTGATGTTTGCAGCATCAGCTCAGGACGGATCTCGTCGCTTTTAACAACTTCATATTTTACTCAACGGGACTTTTTTTTTTTTATTCTCTCGACAGGAAACGGTTGATTTTTCTCAATATCTGAACATTTTAGAGCACAGAAAAACAATTAACATGAACTCTTTCGTCACAGTAAGGCTTAATGTTACGGAAATAAGTAAAATCTATTAATTTATTTCAAGTTTGTGTTTAAAAGATATAAATGTAATTGGAGACCGTATCAATACATTTTGAATCAGACATCGTCACAAAGAAATCCTAGCATGAGTCTAAAATTATAATTTGGTTTATAAACGAGTCAGCTGAGTGAGGCTGTAGCGCTCCCATGTGTCAGTTCTGTGTCGCTGCTTTTCCCTGACCCCAAATTAAATCACTGCATTCAGAATCAAAGAGTGAAGTGAAACTTACGTTTGTTAAATAAGAGAATTAAAAAAAAATCATGTAAAAGTTGATAAATCTGTTTGTTGTTTTACCTGATTTAATCCCAGAATCATCTTCTTGAAGGAAACGAGTTTGGTCTTTAAAATCTGAACACGTTACCCCCGGAGAGACGCACAAAGTGGGATTAAAAAACACGTCGCCGCTGGCAGAACAGCCGCTGCTGCGTTTCATCGGCATGACGACTGAAAAATTAAGATTATAAAATCAATGAGCATTAAGAAAAAGTGAAGTTTTCTTAGACGTGATTCTTTTAAAGATGAGCTCAAAGGGACCCTGGAACTCTGGTTTTAACCCCCTCCTTCACTCCGGTCCAGGTAGAGACAAGAAAAGCCACCAGCATCGAGTCCAGCATTCTGAAAAGCTGCGTTCAGCGAGGAAAAGAGTAAAAAATGAAGAATCCTGTAAAGTTTGTGCTGCGGACGAAGCGGACAGAGGTGAGGTAGAACTAATGAAGCTGTGGATGCATTCATCATATTTACAGAAGACTGAGCAAATCCAGCTCATTAATGATTAACAGAGAAACCCTCATCCATCTGTCCATCCATCCATCCCACCTCCAGCCTGCAGGTTAAACACACACACACACACACACACACACTTTGGTTTTACTCACCAAGACCGTTTTCACTGAAAGGTCTGAATATCAGTGCTGCACACTTTGGATCCAGTTGAAAGTTAAAAAGACTTTTAATTTAAAAAGAAGTAAATGTTTAACACTCCTGGGATAAAGCGCAAAATAAATGTTAGAAAATGAGTTTAAGGTTTGAAACTCTCTTAGTGTCATCCATCTATTCATACTCTTGACCTGTGCTCACCTTCCTGGTCCCAAGTCATGAACACTTTGAGTTTTTCCTTGTTTTAAAATAAGAATTTGTTTTTCTGACCATAAAGTTTTCCTTAAACAACTAAAACCACAACGAAAACACACAAAGGTGTGTAAAAAAGAGGGAGGTGTAATAGTTCTAGTTCTGTGTAAACCTAATAGTTATTTCTACTTTGTTCTCGTCAAATGTTAAAAATAAGAATTTACATTTTAGTCTCGACCTGAACAACGAACAAAAACTGAATACACGAAATGTTTAACATAAAAAAAAAAAAAGTTTTCTGTTAAAGTCTCACTCATAATCGCCCACTTCCAAAAGGGAGGCAACGCTTTAGCCCGTCTGTGTGTTCCTTTGTCTGTTAGCAAAATATCGCATGACCCACTGGACATATTTTAATGATACTCCAAGAATATTCATTAAAGGTGCATCTACAACTAATTAACTTCTGGAATCAACCCAATTCAAGATGACGCCACAGTCAAGCAACCTTAAAAAAAAATGGTTATAACTAGTAACATTTTAAAGATATTTAGCTACAATTTGGCGTGGTAGTCGCCGAGACTCATCCACAACTTACATTCTGAGAGCTAACTAAACATGCAAGATCTGTTTTTAGGACCGTGCCTCTATTTGACATGTGTCTGTTAGCAAAATATGTCATAAACCACTGGGTGGATATGAATGAAAGTTTTAGAAACAAATTATTGGACTTATAAATTACAACTTATTAACTTTTGAAATCAACTCGATTCAAGATGGCCGCCACAGCCCACTGAACTTAGAAAACACAAAACTGTCATTATTTTTTTTAATTAATTAATTAATTTTTAAGATATTGAGCTAAATTTTGTTGTGGCTGTAGCTGAGTCATTAAAACACATATTCTGGAAATTATTTGCTTAAATCTTTAGCTTTAAATGTTAGCAAAATATCTCAAATGACTGGGGGGATCTTAAAGAAACTCAACTGGTGAGGATGTGGATTTCTTCATAGGTTTTAAATGTTTTAAATTCAGCTAAGAAATAAATTTAATATGTACTAAAATGTTTTTGTTTTTTTTTATCTTTCTGTAGGTTTATTTTTAAACTTGTTTTAATTGGATGTTGACAGCTTTAAAGTTTTTGTTAGTTTAGCCATTTGGACAAAAGCAAGGACAAGTCAGAATTCCTTAATAAATTTAGTTACAACAGCAAACGTAGCAAAAACAGAATACTACAAACAAAATTTGTTTTGTATTTTTTAAGTGACTTAATAAACTATAAACAACAGTTTGACAAGTAAATTTGTGCTAGCTGCGAGTTAGCTGTTATTAGTTAGCCGCCATATTTGTTAGAAAACTAGAATCCCATCAAAAATCCAATTTAATTTTAGGATTATCAATCTTTTGACATCATCTAAACAGTTTTGATTAAATAAGAGTTATATATATATTTTTTATCACATAAACCTTATTGCGGCAGTATTTTTACAGAAACAGTTGTGATGTGACCTACCGCACCTGAAGCTAACAGTTTGACAAGTACCATTGCGCTAACAGCGAGCTAGCTGTTATCAGTTAGCCGCCATATTTGTTAGGAAAATAGAATCCCATAAAAATTTAATTTTAGGGTTATCAATATTTTAACATTATCTAAACAGTTTGGATTAAATAAGAGTTATATATTTTTTAGTCACATAAATCTTAATGCAGTAGAACTTTTACAGAAACAGTTGTGATGTGACCTACCGCACCTGAAGCTAACAGTTTGACAAGTACCTTTGCGCTAACAGCGAGTTAGCTGTTATCAGTTAGCCGCCATATTTGTTAGGACAATAGAATCCCATCAAAATCTAATTTTAGGGTTATCAATATTTTAACATTATCTAAACAGTTTGGATTAAATAAGAGTTATATATTTTTTAGTCACATAAATCTTAATGCAGTAGAACTTTTACAGAAACAGTTGTGATGTGACCTACCGTACCTGAAGCCAACAGCCGGAAATGAGTTCCGGCAGGCGGTAAAACGGCTGTCTTTAGGCCGGGGCCGTCAGGAGACAGGCGGTGGGTGAAGTGACCGAGAGTCGGAGTAAATGTAGGCAGAAAGAGGTCAGCATCTGACCACCTCCACGTTAACAAAGTGAGTACGAAATAAACCCGAAAACAACCGTTTAAAACGAGTTAAACCAAGTTAGCTCGGACATGAGCTCGTTTTGGCTCCTGCCGCCAACTCCTCTGCAAACTGTCAAGTTGCGCAGTTTTATGATAAAAAAAAAAAGACATATAACCAGTATAGCGACATGTTATGCCATCTTGATCGGTTAAAAAAATGAACTAGCTGCATCCTTATGGAGTCAAAAACAGTCGGGCTATTAAAAATAATACACATTTTAAAGCAACCTGTTGCAAACTGACGCGACGGAGTTCAAGGTGACCTGATGCGTTCAGGGTCCTCTTAAATTAAGAGGGAGTCTTCCAAGGTTTTCTGATGCGTTCAGGGGGGCTCTCAATTTAATAGCAGGAGTCGCAGAGCGTCAGTCTTGA